CATTTCGCCGGTGACGCAAGTTTGTCGAATAATTTATACATAGTCCCCTAAATACTAAAATTTGTATACTTTTGAAGTATTATAGTTACAATTCTCTTCGTAAGTTTTCTTCAGGTAATTACATTAAAATACAAAACTTGTGTAACGTTAAAATTAAAAATCCCAATACGCCAAATAATACACGCGTGAAAATTAATTCAATTGTTCGTTGATAATAATTTCATCCGTTCGTTATTTTAATCTTCTTCGACACGATGTCATGTTTGACAGTTTGAAGTTCAAAGAGACGATTGAGAAAAAGACTCTGCATCTCTTCTTTTATTCGAACAGTCATCTTCACCCAATAAAGCCCTGGCGAGAGCTTTCTCAAATAGCTCGGTAGATCCCCGGTTACTCGTGAATCCTTTGTAATTGGCGATTTGATAGATTGATAATACCGTCCGATTTGGTGCATTTCGGAAATACGAGAGAAAGAGAGAGAGAGAGAGAAGGATAAGGGAGCAATAACGGTGACTTTAATTAATTCCTTCCTGATCAGAATGCTGCAATCGAATACGCGATATCGACGTTCGCGTCAAATTGCACGGTCACTATTCGTTGCACTGAATACATGTAATCACAAATAAGTAGCAGTACTCCACGATACAAGAAGATAAATTAAGGAAAAGAGAATAAAAGAAGGGAAGACGAGTGAGAATTCGTGAGAGATGCGCACTATTGTTGCGCAAAATGATCCATTAATCCGTCAAAACGATCGTCAATTAATCGCGACTCTCGGATTTTCAGTCGGAAATTCTGACCGAGCGAGGGATTCTTTTTGGAAAATTGGCCGTCCCGATAGACGTGCCAAGTCGGAAACCATGCGTCGGGATCTACCGTTCAGTTTGGGTTTTATCAAACACAAAAATCGCACCGCCATTGTGAGGTATACGATGAAACGCGCGCTAGAAACAGAATACTCTTTATATACCGGAGGAAATTCCGGCCGGAGCGAATACAATATCGCGCAAAAGTCGAATCCCCCGTTTCCGCCTTTTTTGACGTCGGCTTCATCCGCGTAGCGGAAGCTCAGGTAGCGGTTCATCGTTATCGTCGTCATCGTCGACACGTGCGTGCAGTTTATGATAATATTTAATCGGGTTATAGACGCGCGAGAGGCGAATATAGAGCGACGGAGCGAGTCGAATAGACCACCTCGTGGCGGTGGTCGGCGGTGGTCAGTCGATGTTCCGTGTTCGAGTGTTCTGCCGTTGTGTCGCCGTTATGTCGCCGATAATCCAGTTACAGCTGAGCTGCGAATGTTACACGGTGCGCGCCCCACGTCGCGCTTTCCGCTCACGCATAGTCGCGCATTTTTCCGCCCGAGTTCTTCGCGTTTCCCAGCCTTTCCTGAAGGACCGTCGCTGAAGCGTATTCGCTTGAATTTTCCGTGAGTGGCGGCCGTGCTGGCGATGCCGCGCCATCGTCGTCATCGTCATCGGTGGCCTCGATCAACGTTGCGTGGCGTCGTCGCGGGAATTAACGCCGCGCACGTCGCGTCGCGTCGTTTGTTCGTCGCTCGTTCCGTTTAACGCGATTACTCGTAGCTGGACTTGTCGGCCGCATTCGTCGGTTCTGATATGCGTCGTCCATTCATCTATATCGCATCGTCGATGTCATTCATCAACAACTTCCTCTAATTAGCTTCGACGGGCCATCCCCGCGGAGGTTCTCGTTTTCTCGTGATCGCGACGACGTCTCCTACACGTTATCCTCCTCCGCGCGCGCGATCGAACATCATCCCTGGAGAAAACGTCAGGCTTTTATTCGCGCGATCGAGCGATTGGCGCGGAATATGCTCGTCTCTCTCTCTCACATGTATATATATGGTATAGCGTGGAAGGACGACTGCGCGTGAAATATCGTTGTTCCTGCGTTCGCTTGTATCACCCGGTCGCCTCCGTTGGGTTCATTTCTCTTCTCACGTCACGTCAGCGTTTACAAAATCGAATATCTGCCGGGAAACATTACTCACTTTTCATTGCACATATACTCAAGGATCGCGGATCGCGCGTACTTCGTATGCTGGAAATATATCCGAAAGATTGCAGATAGCGAAAATTTGCTAAACGTCCTCCCCTCTTTCCCAGGCCAACTCAATCGTTGCTCTTCGTGGTGACATCGCGTGCGATCCGGTGTATCTTGAGAACGCACGAGATGCCTCTTGTCTTATTGCAAACGCTCGAATATTAAAGGAGGGAGATTATACGCATATATTATACATATTGCAAGGCTAAAGGATACTGAAAAATCATTGCGCTAAGTCCTTCTCTTCGCGACGGGTCGATCGTCTTTCCTTTCGCGGCAATGGTTTTATGGCACAATCCACGTACGATTGAATATGCCGAGATTCATTTTTCTACCGTCTGTATGCCTGTTACGGTAGATATTCGGAAATGACGTTGTCGTATTTTGTCTTCAAGTTATTCCGTCATCCCACAATTCGCTTCGCACGGCTGTCGTTCGGTATACCGCAGTAATCCAAAATACATATGCCATAACCCTTTATTTTAAACATTCTTATTTTAGGACACTCATTTCTTTTCTTTTTTACAGTCCTAGAAAACGAATACGCATCTGTGGATAAACATCACAAATATCTAACCCTATCGTTGGAATTGTTTTATCATTTACTGACTGCACGCACACTTTCGCAAATTATTCTTCTTTTCGGGACCTAAGCCTGATCGTATTCGAGCGATTCTCGTTTTTACAGGCGATAAATCGCCTCTTGCACGAGCCTGAATAAAGCACAGAGGACAGTGCCCCGTTTTACTCCTGTTATTCGATACATGCCGCCGAACGTCGAGTATCGTGCGAGTATCGCCACAAGTATACCGTGAACAAGCCGAGTCGGCGATATCCAGTTACGAGTGCATGAAAACTTTATCAATTACGAGCGACCGTGTCCTATTCCTCGGATTGTCATGATGATGTTGCAGAATTTCGGAAGTGCCGCCTCACGATGGTACTTTTGACTCTCTCACCTGTTCAAATTCACAACGGGAAGAATCGCCGCGGCGAAACGCAAACCATTTTGTCTCCGCTGAACTGAGCAAAGGTGATCAAACTGGGCAAGCCGAATAAACCCGTTTTTTGTTTCCGGTAACGATTGATGAATCTTCGGGAACATTCAACGACCAAAGTTTCAGGCCTATCGAATGTCGCGTCCGGTGCTTGGCTTTCGTCCCAGCTTCATCAGAAGTGATCTCCTATCGAACAAACGACTGGCAGAAAGAAGACCTAAGCGAAGGTGCGAGAGGGAAAAGAACGGCGCTACGACTGTCCGAACTGTCGTCTCGATTAATCCGCTGACGGGGTGCGTTTTTTCTCTTCGAAGTACCCGGCGGTCAGCAAGTGCGTCGCGCGTAAATTAGGGAAAATTCACGGAATCGCGGTGCGCGTAACGTCAACGCCGTCATATGTCGCAACTCGATGAACTGATATCGCCGAGGCGTGAAGGAACGGGTCGAACGTGGCTATCTGACGCCATTCGCGAGATTCCTTTCAGATTGTTGTCGTACGAGTGATTTCGCGAGTGTGATAAGTGTATCACGGGACACTGAAGGATGGAGAGGAATCGAAGTTGCGCAAAGTCACAGAAGTATCGAAGGACAGGATTCGCGTCCTCGTGCGTTTTCTCTTGAGGCTCGCAACCGACGTACTTATCGAGTATAACCGGATGTGAGAAGTCGCGCGTTAAATACGAGCTCGTCGACTGATCGCGGGTGTGAACCGAGCTCCACCGGTGTTGAGCTACATTCAACAGACACCTGATGTAAGTTTTCTAATTAACATCAACAATACGTACATAAACGCGCGGAGTGTGTTTGTACCTCATCTTTCGCTTCTAATCTTCTCCCGAAACTTCGTGGATCATTCCGTTCGGCGTGAATCATGTTTGCATAAAGCGGAATTGTGTAAAGCAGGAGAGCTTACAGGATTGAATCACGAACGTTGGAACAGGAAGAGAGAGAGAGAGAGATCGAAAACATCGAGAGAAGTATTTATCATGTATTGAGAAAACGAAAAGTTTCATCCCCTAATTTTAACCGAGTGTTCGACGAAGTACTCCGAATGTCGCGCGGCGATTTCGCAGGGGCGGAAATGTCACAGCCGAGAAAGTGAAGTCGAGGAAGATTGAAGGAAAACGGAACAGGTCGGATGTCGTACAAAGTCAGACACCGGACGACGAGAGAATTCGCGAGCGCCGTCGTATCAATCGATCTAAAGCCTGAAAACGCAGCCTAACAAAGCACATCGCGTTGGAGAACATTGAATGAAAGAAGAAAAGAGAGAGAGAGAGCCACTGAAGAGTCAGGGGGAAAAGAGAGACGGGAGGTCATATATGCTTGTGTCGTGCATTCTCACGGGAAATCAGCGGCCGCGGAGAGAAGTCGGGGGAGGACCCGATGGTGTCTCAGGATGATGACTTCTTCTTTATCAACGACCGGCTGGCAAATTGATAACGAGCCAATAATGTCGTACTCCACGGAAACGAGGCTCACGTGAGAGATCCGCAGCGTTGGATCTTCAAGGTGGCTCGCGAATCGAAGGGAACTTCTCTCGAAAAAAAGAAGAAAAAAGTCCGACGACGTTCGTTGTCGCGTTTAACCGGAAACGATCCTTAAATTTCATGGCGGACCCATCGACGTTTCGTCCCGCGTCGTTCGCTGATTGTAGAGGAGCGGCTCGATCGTTGCGCGAACACGGGCGACGACGACGACGCGAGGGGAACGAGGCTCTTGAAAAATAGGGCAAGTACGGGCGTCAGGGGGATACGCGGCTGGATCGGACGTAGCGCGCGCGTTTTAGTTTGCGCGATAAAAAGTCGGCTGGTCGCCGATAAGAGTGGGATTATACGTAAAAACTGTGGATAAAGAGATCAAGCGACGGAAATTGGGAAGATCCTGCGAGCGGTGGACGAGAGAAAGTAGGAGAGGAGAAGAAGAGAGAAGGAGAGAGAGAGAGTATCGACGACATTAACGCGCCACGAGAAGGGATAGAATTCGGTCTTCGGCTTCGTCCATGCTCCTTTTCCCTTCGGTGTTGTCCACCAGCTTCGGAACTTTAAGAGCAGCGATCTGTAGACGCGCGCGCCATCCTTTAAGGTGGCTTAAAGGATATCTCGCGAGAGACCCAGGATGCGACCTGGCCTCCGCGGTGCCGCCGGGGGAATCAGACCCTTTGTCGGGAACAGGGAGAAATGAAGTTATCAGTGTCGGCTTACACAGCTCAGGCCAGTGCTCACAAAAATCTCTGCAGCTATCAGCAACAACGGAGCTACGGGGCCACCAATCAGGCATCCACGGCCCGGACCCCCTCAGACCTCGCGACGGTCCTTCCTGCCTTCAAGGTTCGTATGGCCGATTGAACTGCTCTTTTCGTTTAACCCGAAACTTTCCGACCGATGTTACGATTTACAGGATATTCGGGCTGAGATATTGCAATTCTCTAGATTTTTTTAAGCGAAATTCCAGTCGGAAAGTAGAGCGACAGCCGAGTCATCCGAAATCGAGTGACCTTTCACTTATACAGATTGAATTATTCCGCTCTAAATCTTTAAGTGAATATTATACGGAAAATTAGAGAGCGAATCTGATGTATTAGGTCTGTGTATAAGTTCCTAGGGGTTTTCCTGACGGCTTTATTTATGTATATCAAAGAAACAATATATGCATGTTTAATCACAGTATTTTCCTTCGCTTGCTACAACTTGAGGCCATTTTTCCGGGCAACAAATGGATTCCTTGATTGAAGAATGACAGATCTTTCGATGCAATAAATTCGTCGACCTCATTTCTAAATCACATACCGGAGAGATGGTATTGCATTGACTGAAATAGGTAAAAGTCGGAAGGAGCAAGGTCTGGACTATAAGTCGGGTGTGATAGGACTCTTTCTATTCAAGCTCCAGTAAGATGTCTTTTCGCGGAAGCAACATGTGGCCGAGCGTTGTCGTGGAGTAAGATGACTTTTTGATTTCTTTTTCCACGTTCCCTTTTTTTCTTGGAATTTTTCGTTCAACCGGTACGATTGACTGTAGCGTTCTGCAGTAATCGTTTCATCAGGCACCTTGAACAACTCATAATAGAGCACGCATTTTGATTCCACCAAATACAGAGGAGAATTTTATGCCTGTGAATGTTGCGCCTTAGTGTTGAGGCGGAAAGTTGTCTTGGATCTAATCGCTCCTTTTTGCGTTTAAGGGCTTTCACCGCAGATCTCGCAAATAATTCTGCTTGTTTCAGTGATAAATTTTCCGCGATGAAAATAATGCGGCATACAATGCCAGATACGCACCTTTTCGGTCTCCATTTTTAATTAAATTAAAAATGTGTTTAAATAAACAAATACGAACTGTCATATATAGGTTAACCAACAGTATTAACGTAAAACACTAACTAATTGAAGAGATTACGCACCAAGAATTTCAGTGCGTCTAAATATATAGCTCAAAGAACTTATGCACAAACCTAATATATAGGCCGATATAATTGCTTTAATGTTTGCAACGGTTTGCATATTTAATGTTACGAATATTGATTATTTCATAGAGTGTATTTCATAGTGTGACAAAAATATATCAAATATCATTCCTTTTTTTTATACGTTATTATGTTTTATATTACAAATATTACGATCATCTTTCCCTCTGAATAATAGTTGAGAAATCATTCTTTGATTGATAATTATGATACACGAATACGTCAACACAATGTGAGTGACTGAAAAATATTAGTTATTATTGCGCCACTAGATGTTAAAGCTATTGTCGATCTGTGCACAATAATAAACAGAAAAGTTGCCATAGTCGTCAGAGTATCAGAAATTCCCGTTCGATAATTGAAGTAAAACAACGCTCACTACCATTAAGATATGGGTGACCACTTTAGGATCGAAATCAATCAACATTAGTTTATTTCATCTCGTTTGCATCAACATAATTTGCTGCAAATAATATTCGCAATAATTAATTCTTGCACTAATTCACCAAAAAATCATTGAAATACTAACCAGTGATTAATCATTAATATTTTTCTCGGTGATTATTAATAATACTTTTCTGTAGAGAAAGTTTCAGAAGAATAAGAAAGTATGTGTAATTAAATGCATAAAAATATGTAAAACATACTTTGAAAACGTTTCGGAATATTCGAAAGTAAAAATGTGTTATAACGAATATCCATTATTGTGTATTGGCATATTAACATCGGTGCGTAACAGCGGGCTACTAAACAAATGATTCCATAAGTAATGGCTAAAATTCGTCATTTAATAGCGGAGATATTAAAGCGGGACCATAATATCTGTAAGAGCTATAATACCACCTTCTCCTTTTTATCTATTTTTCATACTGCATTACCTCGATTCTCTGTCGTTTCGTCGAGACTTAAGCACGAAACAGCAACAACTATAATCATAATAAATCATAATAATTATAATAAATAACTTTCAATATATGATTACGATTCCATTGAGGGACTTTGATGTTTCTTCGCCGATATGAAAAATGTATCAGAAATGCATTCTTCAATTTACTCCAGTAATGGCGAAAACTCATTCAGACAGCCCAGTGCTTCAGCGATTTCTCATCGATTTCACCTTTTTAATACTACATTTTTTTACTGTAATAATTTTACACATTGTTGCGTAACGGAGCGACAAGATGAATGCACGCGGCAATTTTAATTTTAATCAATCTTTCAGTATGTAACTAATGTAATAATACACATTTACAATAATATATTTATATTGAGCACTCTATTTATGAGAAAAAGTTGGTTTATGTAAAATCGACTTGAAACGAAACGCGATGTTGAGGTAGATTCGTAGGATAATAAAAAGCAGATACATAATTTTGCGAAATTATATATGTGACGGAGGAAAACTCCATATGTGAACTCGATGATATAAAGCCAGAACAATCGAGCGCAAAATCTTCCATCTGCTCTTAAGGAGAAAGTGACGTCTCTACATATCGCGCTAATGCTTCGGCGATGCTGAACAATGGACGTGCTACTTGGCGGTCTCGTCCAAACATGTCAAACGCGCGGCTGCACAAACATGATCAGGTATATATGAGAACGCGGCGAACATAAAACGCGCGTTAGTCCCAAGAAATCGATTGAGGCGCGAGCGAGTATCCGCTCAGCGCTAACGTGAAATTTGTTCCAAAGGAAGTGTAGCTAATCTGCCTTTCCCCGTAAATAGATCGTTCGTTCCGGTCATGCGAGAATACGTGTATGTCAGCATCGTTTTCGATTTATGTCGAAAATCTAAAAAAATAGCAAAGAAAGTTTGACATCTGATTCAATTTCATCAATGTGTTCGTAAATTCGTCGCATCTGTGAGGAAAAAAGAGAGAGAGAGTTACATATTAATTTACGCTGCTATTCGGCAAAATGATTCGTACATACAGTCGTTCCTAATCCGATTCAACTGAACGTAACGTGCTATGGATTAGCCTCTTGTTCTCTGTATGTCTCTTTCTCGTGCCGCACACTCTTTAACCTTTTCGTGATAGACCACCTGCCAGAAATAAAGATATCACGAGGTCCGCTCGTAGCGCCTGCCCAATTACTACTGATTGCCCTCCGGACGTTCGCGCGCAAAGTGCTCCTGCGGGAGCGAGTCCTGCGAGGAACCAGCAGTTAGCGTTACGTCGTGTGACACGAACGATACTACTTTTTTAATTACGTAATTGTATATACGTCATACGTATGCATTATCGGCTCGAACACGCGTTCGTTCAATTCGAGGAACGGGACTGCATTCGATGCGAACGACGCGAACATAGCGTAACCTCGCAAATCCGGGAAAAGTTACCGCGCTGCATAGGGCGCGGTGTATAACATGAAATTGATTTCCCTCGGGAAAACAATTTTATAGAAGAGAAACGGTTAAATCGACAAATATAAATGCGGGTCGAGTCAAACGGAATCACATGTGCAGGATGAAAAAATTTTGTGTTAAATTTAACATGTTCCCACATGTCGCCCAAACGGCCCACTCAAATAATTGCGTTAACACAAAATAAACGTTAAGCAATGAAAGTAACACAAATATATAACAGATTAACAGATGGCAATTATCGAGGAAAAATAACTCTAAAACTCTTGTAACAATACCGGTGAGACAAAATAAAACAGAGGTCCGAAACATATTGAACGCGTGCGCGCGCAGTGATTTTATGATGGTAATTGAAACGCAATAATTATGGTAATCTCGCGGATAGCATCGGAGAGGGAAAAGATTAAAATGGAACATCCTCATGTACATCAATGACAGACGTCAAGACTCTAAAGACAAATATAAAGTGCTTTATTACGCCCGGGCCATGTGCGTACGATGTACTATTCCGCGGTGGGGCTTTAAAAATTAAAGAGACACGCGTGTTTAGCACCATTCGGAAGACATCTATCATACCGCGAGAGCAATTTCGCGAACGTATCGAAATACTCGGCTAATCGATTCGCCAGGAATGCCCAATTACATGTTATTCCTTCAAATTCTTGTTTTACATTGCATCGCGTTCCGTCGCCGACACGCCGTGTCGCGTCGGACCGCATCAAGTCGCGTCACGCTGTGGGCGTCGGCGGCGCGACGCTTAATTGACAGGTCGCTAGATATTACGGCTCGTCATTTCATGCGTCGCGCTTTTACATTGGAATTCGTGCGCGCCCGCGTTGAATCGCGCGAAAACCGCGATGGAATCCTTTTCCGCGGTCCTATCGTAACGACGCGATCCCCGTGGAAACGAAAAATTGACTTGCCGTAGACCTATTGTATTCTTTCGTTTGCAGAAAAAAGCGAAATATTCTTACAGTTATTCTTTTTTTTTTCGAACAATTGTTCAAAGTTGTACTTATAGTATAAACTTATAGTTTAGGTCAATATGAATAAAAAAAGTCCTCCGCCATTTCGCAAACAACACGCAAAGTTTCGAGTTATTGAGGATTGAAAATGGTCATCTATAGAAGCTCCTTTAATTAATGATTCAAAAAGTTGCGTGTTATTTAAAAAATGATAAAAAATTTTTCGTTCAGAGTGGCCTGATCTACAAGTATGCGCGACAACTATTGTATTTAGCGACAGACATCAGTATATCGCATCTCGAACCTGTCGTGGTTTAGCATCCATATAGTCGAGTATTTTTTAAAATACTGTTCTTAAATTTATTCGATACATCGACATCTTTAATATTACTCGATCTAAAGGATCATAAACGAATTGGCTTTAAATTACTAAAGGCTGTAGGAACAGAAATAATAATAGTCAGAAGAATAAAAAAATTATCGCAATGAGGAGAGTGGGAAAGAGCAATTAGCAGGCACTCCGATTAGCCCGCTGTGC